ACCACAACAAGGACAAGCTCGACCTCAGATGAATCCTCAGATGGAGCAGTTACTTCAGAACTATACAATGACGTTCTTCAAGCAGGCAATTACATTAGAGGCTCAGAAATATAGCGGTAATCCCGGCATGATACCTGGTCAGGTCAAACATCAGCTACAGCAGAATGCTCAGAAGATGGCCTTGCAGCAACTGGGCAAGATGAGACAACATCAGGCGCAACAACAGCAGCAGCAGGGTCAGCAACCACAACAAGGACAAGCTCGACCTCAGATGAATCCTCAGATGGAGCAGTTACTTCAGAACTATACAATGACGTTCTTTAAGCGGGCGATAACACTAGAGGCTCAGAAGTATGGCGGTAATCCCGGTATGATACCTAATCAGGTCAAACAACAGTTACAGCAGAATGCCTTGCAGCGTACGGGCGAGATGAGACAACATGCGGCGCAACAACTACAGCAACAACAACAACAAAGTCAGCAAATGCAGAACGGCATGACGAATGGACAACAAGGAGGTCAAATGCAACATAGACAAGCAGCGTGGATCTAGAAAAATCCATTTCTGATGGTGAGTGCTGACCAATTGCCACTAGTCTGATTGCCAAAGCTAGAAATGACCCTATTACGAGCCGCGACACTGCGAGACAGACCCGGACTTCTCTAAGCCCATCAGAGCTTCTGGAGCCTGATGTTATCGACTCCGACGGGCTGCTCAACGACAAGGTAGAAAATCAGCCACATAGAGACTACTTTCAAGATTCGGGTTATCACAGTGGCCCACTCTTCCAGCCTCCAGCAGAAAAAGAGCCTGGCGCATCTTCTCAAGTTCGCAGGAATTCACTCGGCGATACGCCACAGCCACAACAAATCCCCAGAAGACACAAATGCCCTATTTGTGCAACCGAGTTCACAAGACATGAGAACCTCAAAAGTCACCTCCTGATCCATTATCAGGAAAAGCCATACCTCTGTTCAACATGCAATTTTGGATTCAAAAGGCTACATGATCTGAAACGTCACACGAGACTTCACGCTCGCGAAGTTAAGCAAGGCGAAACTGGATAGGAGACTCTTGAGCAATCATCCGAGAGCCCACCACCGCATACGGAAGACACTATCGATCTGGGGTCTGCTTCCTTATATCACACCGGAACAATTCGGCCCTTATAATACTTATCCCCAACCATACCACGGACCGAATCGGTTCTCTGAATAAGGCCATACACACGATAAGGTTGAGGTTACTGGTGAAGCTCGTAACCTTATGGGTAACATCAGTGACATGGAAGCAAATTCGGACATGGTGCGAGACGACTACTTCGCTGTACTGTCCGAGAAGGAGTACGACGATGATGAAAGATAGGCGGAATTCAAACGCTCCGTCGAAAAAGAAGACAAAAAGTGGCTAAACGTGTAGCGGACGAAGCACACCGCGACCCGGAAATTGCGGCGGAAATTGCGCGTCCAAGAGAACAGCAGCAGAGTGATAGGAAGAGACGGGCGATGACTCGGGACTAGTAGTGTTTTCTTTCAGGTGTAAGACAAGTTATAGACTGGAAAGGGAAAGAGAAGGACATTATGGCCCAACCTTCTGGTCGTGCTTCCTTGTACTCAGCTGCTTATACTAGAAAAACTGCATTCTCATCTACTGCGCGGAAACAGCTAGTAGTAAAGCTAATCGACCACGACCTCCACTATGTGCTTTCAAAAGAGACTTTCAGTTCTCTGGTCTTGATGTTTTTGTCTTCATTATTCAACTATAAGAGTTGATTCCGTACTCCAGCTCAAAATAAGCTCTTTCAAGCCGAGGTTGACTCAAAGTCGTGTCGTGTCGCTGATGAGATACCTGCACGAACGTTCCATAACAGGATGGTCACAACATCTCTCGAGACTGTTCTTGAGTATAGCTGCATGCTCTCTTATCTTAAGTCGTGGCTTTGACAGCGCCGCTACTATCTCAGATGTATATCGGCTGCAGGCAGAACGGACACTCATCCTCGAACTGCATATCTTCATCGTCCATGGATTCACCCTCATAGTAATCTCGTTCGTCTTCGAGGGTCCAGACATGTGTCTTCTGCAACGGGAGCACAACTTCATTCTTGTCGTGGTTCCATGTAGCTTTCTGTCACAAATTAGCGAGTAAAAGTGCAAGGATATTGCTTGCACATACCAGACTGACGCGATCCCGCCATCCGAAATCATCTTCAAACTCGACCTCCTCATCAATCATTTCCTTGTGTTCAGGTTCGACGAATGCTGTGATTTCGAGTCCGATCAGGAGTTCAAATCCCTTCTTGTGTACGGGCATCATGCGCTGTCCCGTTAGCTCAGTCGGTTTGATCATGTCAGCTGCCTGCGCGACAATGTTTTCTGGACATTTCTCGAGCAGTGTCTGCAACTGTCCCTGCGAGAAGGCTACTTTAGGTGGCATACGCAGAGCTGGGTCGTTGTTCTCAGCAATGGCGAATCCGGCCTCATTATCAGATTTGATGAGATGCAGCGTCAAGCCAGCGTGAAGGACTTGCCTTAGCTGCGGAAAGTTAGATCTCTTGAATGCTGGGACGATTCTCTGTGTTTCAATTCTAGAGATGCTCTGCTTAATGCCAGCAGGAATTACTGTCATCCAATACCGATTGTTCCTCGGGACATCAGTGAGCCTCAACGTGATGTGACGTTCGGCTAATGCTTCACCGTGAATCTGCTTCGATGTTCTGAAAAGAGGATGATCAATATTCCGCGCTCTGAAGACGAACCTGTTGAAGTACTCGCGACCGCTTGGTCTCTTCAGAATGTCAGATTGATTCTTCTCGAATGAGGTGATATATGCATTGAGCACAGGGTCGTGATCTTCAAATACATATCTGAAAACTCGGACACGTATTTCCGATGGTACTCCCATGAGTGTTGGTTGATTTGTGGACATCGTACTCAACAGGCCTCTTGAGACTGAAGGGACGATGTCGAGTGAGAACGTAATTTTCGCGATAGAATGTCTGTAACTGACAAGAACTTGGCGACGAAGGAATCGATGTTGGGTGAAGTAATTGTTTTGTGGTAGGCAGGAGTGTAGAAGAGAGAGCAATTGTGGCTCAAAGAAGCAAGCACGCGTAAAGTGACGCGTCCGCCCATGAGTGTTTGCTCCTGCACTTACAACATCGGAATTGACCCACACAAACATCCCACAGTAGTGCTCAGGTTGCGAAGTCCAGACCTTCACGAGACTAGCTCAACAACTCTTCGACCATTGATACCACCAGCAGACATCTTCCGCACCTCGACCCATCCACCCTGCTCAATCGCCACGATCTTTCCATCTACACACACTTGTCTGAACCTCTCTTCTGGCTCGTCAAACTCAATGCGTAGACCGTCAATCTCTTGGTAAGTTATACTGTCTTTGAACTCCTCTACGTGTTTGCCATTTTCATATGCTAGAGTAAGAATTTTCATAATTGTATCAGAGGATTGATCACCAATCGCAAGCAATCGCAAAGTTCCATCCATTGGCTGTGACTGAGGCGATATGCAGAACTTTTCTTCTAAATTTCTGACTTGAGTTGCGAGGATGTATCGGTGTTGATTTGTGCTCGCTCCATCTTGTCCAGAGTTGCTCTTATGCTCAAGGTTCTGCCAAGGTCCACCATTGCTCTTGCACTTGACTGTCCCCGAATAGATATGTCCTTCCTGAAGTAGCTCTCCAGCAGCCATCTTGAACCTTTCCACTGAGTGCTTACGCATCTCTGCTGTATCACTTAGTGCCACAAGACTGGCGTGCAAACCCCAACTAAACACGACGCAACCATAAATTCGAACATCGCCCTCTGGGTCGTAGTAACCTATTTCGCCCGAAGATCGCTCGTTCTGCGGTCCAGGTTGGTCAAATTCCAGGCGCTGTCGTCCTTCATCAGCCACTAACCGAGCAGCACGAGAAAACTTGACCTCAAATTGTGGTAATGGACGAGCTCGTCCAGTCATCAAGACATCTAACGGACCTTTGCGCACGATACCTGCTGAATGAGCAAGAGCATTTGCTGTGCCACAAGGAAAAAGCACAATAATTGGCTTGAAGAATATGCTGGGAGGTCTTACGTCGTCGATTTCACGCTGTAAAGTGGTTGTCAGAGTATTGACGACATCGACGATGCCGCCGTCGCCAGAGAGGAGGAGGATCGTGTTCTTCACACCTTTTTTGGCGTTAAAGAGGAAGAGCTTTGTAGTCAGTTCTGTGATACTTGTTCGGGAAGTAGTGGTGTGGATGAAATGGTTCTTCTTGAGCTCGAGATGAGGGCATTGTACTGCAAGGTATGGCTGTAGGGTCGTGTCATAGAATGTTTGGGCAGTCTGATCGCCTGATCTGGTAGAGATAATAACGTGGACTTCTCGGTCTGGCGACAGGTGAGCAGGCAGAGGATGACGCCCTTCAGCCATTTTGTCAATGAACCTCTACGGTATGTAGACGCTCTCTATCTAGTCAGCGAGTTGGAACCCACAAATTAGTCTGACAAATTGAAAACACGATACTACGTTAGGACATTCCGCCTTGATGTGCCGGATCAGAGTCTTCGACTGGTGTCTAGAAAGCGCATTCCTATACCTTTGTGTGGCCCTTCGTACACGACAACAACAATCCAAATTTATAGGAATAATAACAACAGATCATCCAGTTCCGCATGGTCTTGCAAAACAATCACAAGCACGCGACGTTACTCGTAGCAAGTGAAAAGCATCCCGGCTGGTTTCCGAGCCACGAGGCTCCGCGCTGGCGGACGAGGCTATCGAGTTTATGAACTCTTGCGCGAGTCGTGCTCCTGCGACAATAAGAAGCAAGTGGACATTCGAGATATATGCTTGATTTACATTTCTGAGAGTTGATTCCGATAGTCCCAGCGAGGGGGAAAAATCAGAGAGCGGAACCGCGGGACTGTTCATCAACATGGCTACACGACACGCCTCGAGAACTATCATCGATGCTGTACCTCTATCGCAACCAAAGGCCTACATCTGTCGACAATGCAGGAAGAACCTGAGGCCATCTCAAGTTGTGTTTCAGCAACGACGATACGCCTCGAAAAAGGCTGAGAACGATTCGAATGCGACAGGAGACACCTGGACCGAGAAAATTCGATCAAAGCTATGGCAGGGGAAACCACCTGGGCCTGAAAACATTGACGATGTCTATGGTGGCCCTGGATTCTTCGCAACTATGGCTAAGGAGAGAAAAGAGAAGAAGCAACGTGCTGCAAGACAAGCTAGACAGCAGGCTGGATTAGAAGAGGCTAAGCCGGAGCTGGACTCGCAACGAAAACACGAGGTTGAACGAAAATCCGAGCAGCTCTCCGCGGAAGCACAGCAACGAGTTGTTCGAGCTGAACAAGAAACTGAAGTGGAAGCCTTGTCAGCTTCATCTCCAGCCAGGCCTTCGCAGGTAATTGAGGATCAAGACGAGGGGGAAACAGTAGAGCGTACATGGCTACCAGTCGTCGGTTACAAAGGAGACTGGAGAGAACTACGAGATATGAATTTGCCCATGAACAGAGCCGACGAATATAACCCGTATGTACATGTTCACTCCAATGTTTGTGCTTTGCTAATCTGGTCATAGTTGGTTAAAAGCTTCGGATCGACCCAACTGGACCTACAATCAGCTTGTATCCCTCTTTCATCGAGCCATCGTCGAAGTTAGTGCCTGCCACCTCCACGCAATCGATTCTACCACTTCAACGGGCATTGAGGAGCATTTTGAAAGAGCAAAGATAGAATTCTCCAATGAAGGCACTCCAGTAAATGTCCACATTCCTCATTCTGCAGAAAGCGCGACGGCAAAGAAGCCAAACACCAAGAGATTCTCCAGCAGCACCGAACAAAGCTGGGCTAGTCTATACTCAAGTCAAGGCTTCCAAAGTGCTCCTACACCAGAATCAGTCTACACACCAGCTGATACCTCCTTCCTCAACTCCCGACTGAGTCTCCAGAACAAGATCGTCTTCCAGGTAAGTCCACTCCACTCCTTCAAACCTGTGACCATAACTAATATCCTGCCCCAGATCCTCCAATACTTCTCGACCCTCACCCGCTGGCGTATTCCCGACCCCATCCTCAACGACCTCAACAGCGCGGACCCGGACAAAAACACCATCGGACATTTCCTACAATCCTTCGCGAACCACACCAAAGCAAAGCCCATCAATCTCGCCGAGCAGCTTCTGGGCAATGAGATACTCGCTGAGCATGGCAATCTGCTTGTGCTGGGGAGACGAGAGACGCCTGTTGATAGGGAGAAGGAGGTCGGGAGATGGAAGCTTATTGAGGCGGAGTTGAAGGCGAGAGGGTTGCCGGTGCTTGGGAAGCGTCAGGTTCAGTATTGAGCCAGTTATATTTCGCTTTGAAGATCCAACTTTATGGTATTGAGGACGTTAGGGTCGAATATGTATGGTGCAGAAGGTATGCCGCCGCTAGAAAAATTATCTGTGCCTCCATATAGCTGTTAAGCATGTGACTGTAAGGGTCAGATATATAGATTGTGGCTAAAGAATGCCGCGCTGTAGAAACAATCCATGAACAATGTTAATCAGGCTATGGCCAGACACCGAACCCACCTAAGCCGATATGCTATCTCTTCCGCACACATATCGAGCGGCTCTGCCAGAACCTCACCAACATCCATACACTCCTCAACTGCCTACACCGACGTTCCCTCCCACCTTCTCATACCCGTAATGCCAGTCCTCACCCAACACATCCTCGCGAATCCTATAATTCTGCTCCGCAATCTCCTGAATACCCAAATCAACCTCGACCACCCTCATACCCTCCTCACTATCCGTGAACGAGCCAGGTAATCGTCCTGCAATGGGTGCGTAGACGCCGCTCAGACCCAGGAAGCCCTCGTCCGCAGGGCCACCGGCATTGCAGAATATGATTGTGCAGGTATTTTCGAAGGCTCTGTGGGAAAGACGGGGTGTTAGTCCGTATGTATGTGTGAGGTTGGAGGCTGGGTTGTATGAAAAAGGGTACGTACCTGGCGACGAGCATGCTCTCTAGAAATAGTTTCTCGCCATCTGGATTAACTTTTCGTCCTGCGTCGCTGAGATCGAATGCGGTCCAATATGTCGGTATTATTATCAGTTTGCATTCCTGTCTGATCAGGCTTCGGAAGGCTTCGGGGAAGGCGAGATCCCAGCAAATCAGAATTCCGATGTTGCCGAGTGGTGTTTGTATCACGTCGTGTGGCGAGGTTGGAGGATTTGAGGGCTCGGAGTGTGCTATTCCCGCATGTTGAAGGTCTTTGGAGTGTTGGTTCTGCTGCTGTGTCGCAGATGTCGTAGATGTGTCGGTCGGGGTCTGTGCGAACGCTACAGATGAAGTGAGGTGATCACGTTCAGGAATCCATATGTTGGTCTTGGTGTATGTGCCAAGTAGTTCTCCAGTATAGCTTATGAATGGGCTTATATTGAGGAGGACAGGCTTACTCTCATCGTTAGTTGTGGTATTGCCTACGCCATTGCTTGCTGGAGTCGGCGCTGTCTGAACAATCGTGCCTGCACAGATGTTGATCTTCAACTCCTTGGCCAGGTTCTGATATGCAGCTTGATACTTGTGAGCTTCACGTGCTATCTCGACGAACTGGGGATCGTTCGGCTCCCAGCCTGAAAGATGGTATTCTGGGAGAACGGCCAGGGAAGCGCCTTGATCTGCTGCTCGCTGAAGTTCGGCTTTGGCATGAGCAAAGTTGTGTGCTGGATCCAGTGGCTGTCTTGGTCAGTATGAGCACGGTTTTGGGTCACGATCGATGCTTCGAGATTCTACTGTGCCTCCGAACGGGTTCATCCCTGTTGTCCTCAAATGCAGCAACACCTACCTTGGGCTTCATCTGTATCACGGCCACTTTGAGCTTGACATCAGCAGTGCCGGACGCCATGACTATTTGCCGAAAGCTTCAAGTGATTCAGTAGAGCTTGAGGTGGACGACAATAGTGCTCAAATGCGGAGGGTGTTTGTGTTTGGCAATGGTTACCAATACTTTGCAGCTTGTGGATCCTCTTCGCTTTGATGGTATTTGGTCTCAAGATCTTCAACTGCTCAGTTCTATACTACACTTCACTTGCATGAGTATTGTTGATAGACAACGTCATCGCTCTTCTCCCTCCCGTCCCTGCAGTACTCGCAGAAGTCACGTTGCTGTTCCTTCCTTGAGGGAAGCACAGAACACTTCCGAGGCACATCCTTCTCCAATTTTCGGTCAGCCTCCAACAGCAAACAAAAGCTCATCCCGAGTCCCTGATCCGAAAAACCTCTGGGCTGCACCTCGCCGTCACCCAAACACTTAGCCGACGCCCGGGCTTTCTGCCGTTGCTGCCACAACTATGCTCGAGGAGGTTGACCTGCCTCGTACAGCTTTACTTTTCTCACTACCTTTCTTGCTCTATGTTATTACTCCCTCAGACTATATTCTGTCGGTGCTCGGGGTGTTCAAAAACTTCATTGCAGCAAATATTGTGCTGATCTGGCTGCTGAAGGTTTTACATCCTCCGACGTGGTTGTATCCTGCTCCTGCTGCAAACCGACCTGCACTTTGAGCAGCTCGTTGACATATAGCCATGGCAACAGCACGTGGTCTCAAGGAGATCCTTACGAAAAAGCCTACCGATGTGGTCATTCTTTCTTCCTTGCGCACACCAGTCACGCGCGCATTCAAAGGAGGCTTTCGCGATGCCCACGACCACGAACTCCTATCTCACGTCCTTAGAGCAACACTAGAAGCAAATCCTAATCTTCCACCAGAAAAGATCGAGGATGTAGCAGTAGGCGTTGTCCTCGCCGAGCTGGGAGGTAGCAAGGCGGCACGCATGGCACAATTACATGCTGGCTACCACGATCGAACGGCATTACACACAGTGAACAGAGCATGCAGTAGTGGTCTCGCAGCAGTGACGACAATAGCACACGCAATCACAGTGGGCAGCATCGACGTCGGGATCGGCGCAGGAATGGAAAGCATGACTCGAAATTACGGCTCTCGAGCCATACCCGTAAATCTATGGGACGAACTACGAAACAGCCCCAGAAAAGAAGCAAAAGACTGCATCATGCCCATGGGCGAAACAAGCGAAAACGTCGCGAAACGCTACGGTGTCTCTCGAGAAGATCAAGACGCATTTGCCGTCGAATCACACCGCAAAGCCTCCCAAGCCCAAAAAGATGGCCTCTTCGACAAAGAAATAGTCCCCGTCAAAGTCCAACAACACGACCTAGAAGATAAAGAGAAAAGCGGTCCCACAAAAGAAGCAACAGTCGACAAGGACGACGGAATTCGGCACAACGCCAGCTTAGAACAAATGGCAAAACTCAAACCGGCATTTGGAAAAGACGGCTTCAGCACAGCCGGAAACTCAAGCCAGATCTCAGATGGTGCCGCCGCAACATTAATGATGAGACGGTCCACCGCCAACGAACTCGGTCTCACAAGCAGCATCATAGGGAAATGGGTAGGCACACAGGTCGTCGGCTGTCTACCCGACGAAATGGGCGTTGGTCCTGCAATCGCCATACCGAAATTACTCGAGTACACCGGCATCAGTACGGAGGACGTAGGTATTTGGGAAATCAACGAGGCTTTTGCCAGTCAAGCGTTATACTGTGTGAGGAAGTTGGGAATTGATGAGACTAAGGTTAATCCGAAGGGAGGTGCTATTGCGCTGGGACATCCTTTGGGAATGACGGGTACGAGACAGCTGGCGACGTTGATGCCGGAGCTGGAGAGGCAGGGCAAGGATCTTGGTGTTGTTAGTATGTGTATTGGGACGGGAATGGGAATGGCTGGTCTGTTTGCGAGGGAATAAATGGAGCTTAGAGGTCTACGTCGTGATGGTTGGCACAAAGGAATAGGTGCTTGGTGTGTGGGCTGGTCAGCCGTTGAAAAGTTTCGATCTATCATTGTATCCACCACCGAAAGGCAGTAATACAGCTATATATGTGAAAGCCCTACATATACCTACCTCCTAATCGCAAGTGGTGCTCATGCCGGGCCTGACAATAAGGTATTAGCAACGAGCTGATATCGTACAAAGTTCACAAATAGTAGTGAACAGAAAGTGGTGGTGGATGGACCAGATGCGATGTTCCCACCACACTGAGATACGGCGGTGCACGCTGATTTCCCACACGAGATCACGATGTACTGTACCATCAGCCTCCCAATGTTTCGCTCTACCACTCGTCCGCACTGAGAAGAACATCGAACCGATTGACGGAGGATTTTACCTTGTGGTTCGAAGGCTTTGATGTTAGGACCCGAGGCGTTGTGGTGGTTGGCAGTGCTTGAGCGCATTCGTCTTGCCAGAACTCAATCCGAGAGCTCTTATAGCGTGATCTGGACATCATACAACCTCGGGCTGTGACCGCATGAGTCACACCATTGAGAGAAATCCAGAAGTGACCGTCTTTGGAGGTCACGGAGACAACCTCGAGAAGATGAATGTGCTCTAGGTCGTCCCGAACAATCTTCTCTGTGACTTCTGGCTTCGGAAAGCGAATGACCAGGTTACGTGTTGCACCGTTGCAGAAGATGCGCCTTGCAATACCGCCAGTCATGTAATATTGTTTCTCACTCCAGGCTATAGTGATTCTCTTGCTGTTGATATATAGATCGTTTCTCTTGACATGGTTGATGAAGCTCTCCGCGCCGGCTGACTCGACGAATGAGACATGTGCTGTCTGGTCATGTCGCTTCAGGAAGACATTGAGGATTGCTCCACCCCTGATGTGTTTGAGTACATCTATCAACGTTGCGTCCTTAGACAAGCCTGTCAACACCAATGAGCGATCTTTGCGACATGTCTGGAATTGCTGTGGCTCAATGGGCGTTTCATCCATGCACTCTTCAATGCAACTGCTTTCCTCGTCTTCGCAGAAAGAGATCGCTGGTCCCCGACCACTTGGTCGCCATGACTTGCCCCACGAGAAGTTCTGTGGGGGAGGTGCAACTGCCTTGGTCCAGTATTGCTTGTCGAAGCTTCTGCATGTCGACACAGTGGTTCTACTCGAAAGCGTCGTCCCGTCGAGCGTAGTGTCATCGTCGCTGGTAGGGGTCAATGGTTCCCTTGTGGCATTGATCAAGAGATCGATGGACTCGACTGGCGTTCCAGCATTCACAAGTGCTTCCTTTAAGGCCTGGTACTCGGCAACGGCATTTCGTAAGCTCTCATACTCGTCGATAGGAATGGTAATAGTATTCGAACATGGGCGTTCCTGCATAGAGGTCAACAACCAGGATCATGCTCGTACAATCGAGCATACGGCATCTTCTATTCTGGTACATGGTCAGTATGATGAGTGAAAGGGCCGAAGTGGTTGCAATACCTTCTGACGAGTGCTAGGAAGTGATCTCTTGGCAGTGTAATATTGTCAGCCATTGTCGTTTGAAGCATGCGGTGTAAGGGACAGTGAGGAGTTAGAATAAGCGGAAAGTTCTGTCAGGATCGAAGGTCGAGGACCGTCAAGGTAGGAAGTCGCGTCCATTTATGTTTGCAGGCTGAACGTAAGTAGCCGCGGTCCTCTGTGCCGCATATTCTATATGCTTCTCTCAGATGTTATTTTCGTCCCTTCCAAGCGCTGTAAACTTTTGTCCTTTCTTATTCGCTGTGAAAAACACTTTTGACTGTGGTAAACCACGGTATATCGTGGTTGAGTCTTCTCAGATCAGTCTCAGATTCTGCAGGAGCCGCCCACCCAGACAGCCAATCGTCGTCGTGCACTACGTTGTTTTGACCAATCACAAATAGACATTCTCGACCATGTTCTTGGCACAAAATCGAACCCCCTCCTCTGCCAAAAACAGCCCCCCACCAGTACGGCGCGTCTTGTCTCTTCAGACTGGATGAGTCCAGCTACTAGAAACACAGTCCTTCGGACGTACTGTCTTGGACGTGAAAAGACCCGTTCCTCGATATTCACAGATGTAGCTGACACAGCCAAGTGTTACAGGGAGGAACTTGTGGCTACTAAGGGTCAGTGCTTCTTACCAAGGAGCAATGGATAGTATATCCTCATATGGACCAAATTGCACGATATCCATCCGTGCTTGCTGTATAAGCTAGCTCAAATGATGTCTGTGAACGCATCGTGGTCGAGAACGGTAACAGCACAGCTGAGTCAACACCTGTTGAGTGCTTCGCTGTCAGCAGCGTCAAACCTTGCCTAAACTCCAGCATCCGAGTCGTTGGTATCACCCTTCTTGACCTGGCAGGATGCCAGCATTCTTCACTGCTTCGATTGTTCCTTCGATCAACCTAGCTCGTTCTGCAGGATGTAAGTCAAGATGTTCTTGAAAGTCTTGATACCATTTGTCATCTTTTGCTCGTCCTTTCCCATCGTAGCCAACTACGAGTTCAGCAATGATTAGAAGCACATTTCTGATGGCCATATTGCCCTCATACTTCGTCACAAGTTGTTCCTGGTCGATCGTCCTCAGTATACTGTCTTCGTTCTTATCATCAACAGCTTCAGCAAGACACTCCATCCTATTCTCAAATCGCCACCACTCTGGTAGTACACTCGACTCCTCTACCAGATCAAGATATCTCTGAAAGTCTGCGTTTGCATCACCTTTGACCCAGACAAGACCGTCCGGAAAAGGTTTGGCAGGATCGTAGTAAATGCCGTGATCTTCCTGCCGATGAGAATGATCGAGTTCAACGCGCAAACGATACGAGTCAATCAAAATCTTGAAGACTTCTTCCGGAGTCTTCAACCTCGACAAGTACGCGTTCTTGGCACCTTTACCTTGGACCATATTGCAGAAAGCTTTGTGTTTCGACCAGTTACTTTTTTGACATTCTTTTGAGCAGTAGTCGACCAGTCGGCATCCTTGGCATCGTTTCAGAGGCTTCTGGAAGCCGATCGCGAGGCAATTGCTGCACACAGACAGTTTATGCAAGCTCATATATTCATGCTCGATCTGACCGACATGTGCTACACCTGTCAGCGGAAACCCTGCAGACGTTGCCATGCCGTATGAAGGTTCTATCAGTGGATATCGAATGTTCAGTCGTGGTGAATCATGCGATCTTGACAGCCACCGTGGCGACAGTAATGGCAAGATATTGAGGTTCTAGCCATGCACTGTGACCAGAGTGTCAAGGTACGATAGTGGGTTGTGTGAACGTCGCTGACTAAGGAGCTAACTGGTTCCATAGTCGCGACAGGCGCGACAGGCGCGTTTCAAGCAGAGCGACGCGATGGCCGCACGTAACGTTGTCGAAGCCTTTCACTTCCAATGCACAAGTTGAAGTCAAATGCGGAGCCTGCGTTGCTCGTCGAAGACTTGAAACTACCCCTCGATGTCCGTGTTCACTAAAAATCCATCCAAAGGGCTATTCTACACGGCACTCACAACTCGTCCACCGCGGTTGAACACATATACTCGGGAGAGGATTCAGACATTATCAAGAGTCATGCTACACCCTGCGGCCGAGTCCGGCAAAACGAGCCATCTGTCAACGAAGCATCGGATAAATCTGAGGTTGGAGTGATACGGATCAAGGCTGTCAGAGCGCAAGATACCAACATCAGCAACTTCATATCTTGCCGAGCATATGCAGACAGGAACGCTACCTTCCGACCATGTTCCAGCAAGGCCACATCATGTGTCTGCCGCGAACACGAAGTCGTGAGTATGTATCATGCATGCCATGTTTCGTGCAACTTCCGCATGTACTTACATCAGTGATTCCCATACCACATCACATTCCGCCGACCTACGTGTCACGCCTGGATGAAAGCGAAGCTTGACTTTAGCCCGGCTTCCCAGTCAGTGTTCTCAGCCTCTTCATCTCCAAACCCATCAAGTCGGCACAGATATCGATTTTGAGCTTGCTACGTTCCTTCTACAATATGTCTGCCATGACATTTTCTAGGATACACTGACTCACCAGCTCACCGAGACCTAGGTCCTTCACCATCTGCCGATCTTGATCGTAGCCGCGTACTTTCGCGCTTCTGTCTGTGGTAGTCGCCCTCGCCTTCACATCGGGTCGCGTTTGTTCATCGATAGGTTTGCAGGTTTGGAGCACAAGCGTAGGACTATGTGTTTGAATCGCGTTTTGTTCATGGCAACGCTTGTGCTTGCTGAAAACCCAAACCAATTGCAGTAGGACAAGCACTGGAAAATGATATATGTTCAAGGTCGTTTACGATGGATCTTCTCCTGCTTCATTACCACTCGCAATTATCTGCTGCAGGTGACTCTGGCTCAGGAGTGATCAACGGAAACTTTAGGTAAAACCTAGCGTACTGACCAGGCGACAATGTCGTCTAAGAAGAAGAAACAATCGAAAGACAAGCACAAGCTCGGCGAATCTACTGACGATCCAGTACAGAACCAAGACGTACCTGGAAACCCACAAACCAAGACTTTTCAAGGTAGCCACACTCACTCAACTGCAATCGCCGAAATAAGCAGCGAAACGTCTTACCAAAAGCCAGCACTTCCTGTTAGCCCTTTCAATACCAGCCATGTGGTGACTTCTGATGTGCCTGCTGCGTCAAACACTCCAGCGAAACTATCCACCTTGGACAAAGATGTAAAGCCACTACATCAATGCTCTCAGGAAGAGATGCTCGAACTCTACTCTCTCGAAGAACTCAAATTGGCCAGGGAGCACAAAACCGAGTACTACTCCACGTTAAATCGTGTCGAACGAGAATCGTGGTCAAAGGAAATGAGGAAAATCATCAAGCTGAAAGAAATGCAGGATAATAGTCTCCAAACTGCTTCTGGACAACCTTCTCAAAGCCAACACAACCTTGGTGCTCCACAGCTTAGCACCGATGGCTCGCAAGACATTTCTATCCGCAGCTTACCAGATGCGCACACGTCTGATGTCGCATTGGATGGATCTGCTCTTGGAAGTGGGACGGCACCTGGTCCGCCTTCAACTATGGACAACTCTAAACATACTGTTCCCGTGGCAGAGGCCGACTTGGTCGGCAAGGTTATCGCTGCGAGACTGTTTCCGGAAAGCTTGCAATCGAACCATTTTCAGATAAACCTCAACGGCCTAACGACTCTACATCGTTACACATTCTCCGAGCCTACTGAGTACCAAGAATCACAAGAAGCAGAACAATCATCAGCAGCTGAGCCGGCAGCTGATGACCACCCTCAGGAAGAGAAGAAGCAAAGGAAACTTCGCGCCAGAGGACGGAGACGGCTCTATGCCCTGCTTCTCAAACAGCTAGAAGAAGCCGGTTTGTTTGTTGCAACTGATTACATGTCTCAAATTGTGTCCACGACAAGACTTGATGATTACGAAGAAGAGTCTACCTACTCGATTTCTTATTTCGATGAAGATCAGTTTGAGGATGATGTGGGTCTCCCATGTTTCACGTTGACTGTGTCAAAGCACCAAGAGCTCGATGTGCAAGCCGCAGATCAATATCTGCGATATGGTCGGCTGAATCCTGGCACAGATTACAGCACAAGAGAAAACGCACAACGAGCGGTAGGTGTAATTGCGGATGCCCTCAACATCATCTTCAGCAACCCTGCCAATCAGAGCACTCTGCGCATTGCGTCAAAGCCAGGGCAAGGTAATAATGTGACACGAGGAAAGGAGCCTACAGTCAGTCATATTGGCGCTCAAAAGTTCTATCCTATACCACAAAATCCGACTTTGAGCGACCCCCGTAAAGGGCCGTCGCCTTGGACAATCAAATCCCCGAGCGTGGCACCAGGGCTCTACGCTGGTATTGGCTACTTTCGATCAGTACGACCGAGCATTGGAAAAGGCTTCTTGCTCAACGTCAACGCCATTACAGGCTGCTTTTACCAGAGTCTGCCGCTCAAGCAACTGATTGACACATTCTGTCAAACATCGCATTCTCGCTCTTTACCGAGCTGGAAGGAAGTCGAGGAATTTATCTCCGGCCTTCGCGTTCAAACCAAATACGTGGTAAGAAGCGCACAGTCTGGAATTGAAACACCAAGAAGGCAACCTGCTCGAGAGCGCATCTACACTATCTCTGGTCTTCCCAGGGAGGCTAACAACCCAGGCCAAATCATTGGAGCCCGCAACCCAGGCCCAGTTCCTAGAGATGTGCAGTTCAAGATGAGAAACAGCAAAGGTGAAGAGATCATGACAAACGTTTTTGATTACTGGAAACCTCGTAGGGACTCTTCCGTAACTTTGGCGAACCAACTGACATATTCACTAGGAAAACTGCTGTCGGACGACGAGGTCATTGTGCGTGTCGGCAAAGATGAGCGAGCCATGTATTTTCCTGCAAGTGAACTAGAAGTTCTGCCTGGTCAGGAGCGCAAAGGAAAGCTTGACATGGTTTTCGAGTCATGTCGATCTCCGAGCATAAATTTTGACTACGTTCAGAATGATGCAAGGAATGTGCTTGGGCTTGGGTCACTCGTGAGTCTTCGAGACTTGCGCTGAAGTGGAAGGTGGCTAACAATTTTAGGGTGACCACTTCGAAGCCACAGCAGAAACATCTCTCACCAAGGTCGACGCTCACTTACTCAAGCAGCCGAATCCAGTGTTTCACAATGATAAACTACCAAAGATAATCGTGGATGCCCTCAAGAAGAAGGGCCCAGTAAGCAAGGCCTTCTGGAACCTTATGGATGTTCAATTCCGGACCGCGGAAAAGGACATCCGATGGGCTTCCATACATGTTGGGGAGACGAGCTTCAATTTCCGTCAGTTTGATTCAGTCAACAGCATGATCAAGACCAAACTCCCAGCCTATGGCATGAAGGGAGCAGAATGTGGGGACAGTAGAGGTCTGGCTTCTGAAGACCAAGGCAAGTGGCACAACTTCTACCGAGTCAATCTAGCCACAAATCAAGTCGAGACACATCTGACCACCATGCTTAAGAATGCACGAGAGACGTGGAAGGCTGACATTGTCTTCCGTCTATCTCAGCGACGATGCTGCACAAGATGCCATGATCTACGCCATGATCAAGCGTATTGCAGATATTGAGATCGGAATCCCGACTATATGTATCTCTTCCAAAAACAGAAGCCTCAACCCTAGGAATGCTGCCAACAAGATTCCGGAGATGGAGAGCCTCGTTGGCAACTCGATGCTGAAGCTCAATGTGAAGGTCCATGAGGCTAATGTCAACCACTCAATCAGCAGTCTTGGAGCGGACCAAAATAGACCAAAGCTATTGAGCAAGCGAACTATGATTGTCGGCTTGGATGTGGTAAGTGTGATTCAACAACTGCTATCAATATGTACTAAAACTTTTCTTAGACTCATGCCGGAGCTGGTGCTATGCAAGAAGCGCCCAGTATAGCCGCCATGGTCGTCAATCGAAATGGAGATTTTGCTCAGTGGCCGGCTTGTTTGAAGCTAAACCCAGTGATCGACGGGACCAATAACCTGGGTCAGAAGTGCAGAAAGGCGAATGAAAACGTCGAGGATGCTGGTGAGATGCTGAAAGACCGACTCCGTTGTTGGCGAAAGCATAATGAACAGCAATGGCCCGAGCATATCATTGTCTATCGAGATGGGTTGTCCGAGAGCCAATTCGAAAATTGCAAGAACGGCGAAATTCAGAAAATGCGAAGTGCGCTCTACAGAGAGGCTCAGACAAATGGTGTTGAATGTCCCAAGCTCCTTGTGATATGCACAGTGAAACGTCACCACGTCCGATTCCTTGCCAAAGACTCTAGATCAGATGTTTCCGATAGGAACCAGAACGCAAAATCTGGTACAGCAATATTCGGAGATGTGACTCGTGGAGATGGTCACGATTTCTTCCTCATGAGCCAGAACGTGATCCAAGGTACTGGCCGACCGACTCACTACGTTGTCTTACGCAACGAGATCCCCAACATCTCAATTGAAGATATCGCACAAGCAGTAAGTCTTCTTTTATACCCTGTCGGACCTGGTTTTAGCTGACCTGTTTTAGACCTACGATCTCTGCTTCATGTGGGCACGTGGTACTTCAGCTGTCGGTCTCGTCCCACCGTCCTACTATGCTGATCTGGCTGCGACTCGAGGTAGACACTACATGCACTGGATCTACAATGGCTGGTCTGGTAGCCAGACTGTGTTTACTGGGTTCAGGGAAAAGCCTAAACCCGACCACGTGCTCAGATCGAAGATTGAGCCTCATGCAGATGTGCGGGATCGCATGCTCTACATCTAAACACGACATGCAACGCCTGAACAGCTCATGCCATTCCCTTCCGCAGGCGATACAGCTTTCTACCATGCGCATGCTATACCCAATAGCCATACTACATTCAACAGCCTTGCTGAACCTCGTGTCGCGGAACAGTCTTCAGCAGCAGTGCAGCCGTGGTCTCAGTACATTCGCAGCGACCGATCATTTCATTTTCCTTTGTCATAAACAAGAGAGCTACGACAGAACATCAACATGAAAGAAGAGCTTGGAGTACGGAGTTGATATTATGAGGAAAGAATGGGAAGGTTTTTGATTTTGTATTGTGTTTCAATTCGATGATTGTCCTTTCCTTGCGAATTCAAGACCTAATATCATCCACCAACATCTGGCTTTACTATTGTCCTTCGAAGTTGTGCCTGCTGGGATGTCCAATGCAGGACCCATGCGTGCTGACATAGTAGAGGAACACCACCAGGATGAGATCGTGCCAAAATCACGACTGTAAGTCCAAGGCATGCTCTTCAACCATATCCTTCCAAAAGCTATACACAACCAAGTCTACCATCCAGGGACCACCCTTGAACACCTCTCAACCCTTCATCACCGCTTCTCACCCCTTTCACCACTCCTCCCCCTCATCTTCTCCCCCATCTCCATAGCAATAGCAGAATCTTTCCTTTCACTTCCACTTTCACAATTAACCTTCTCAACACCAGCGGTAACAGTCCTCACACACCTCGGACAAGAACCCTTGACACTCTTGTATGAAATGTGCTGATCAGCGCAGTATATTGCCTGTTCGTGTTGGGTGATGACTGAGGAGGTATTGTGGGAGGGTGGGCAGGATTTGTAGGTTGTGATTTTGATGTGGCACATCGTTGGTATTGGTTGTGAAGGATTGGCTGTGTGAAGTTTCTGGTGTAGTGGTGGCGGGTGAAGAGTGAGGTTGAGGAGCCGGGTGGGCTATAGTAGTTATGTGCTGAGTCGAGTTGAGTTGAGTTGGCAGTCAGACTCGTTTGGTGAAAGAGCCTTTGGCCTGATCTATTGTGGTTTGAAGCCGATCTGTTTTCCTATCTCGTGGTGCTCTTGCTTGAGGTTGATATCTGATCGGTTGCTTTTCTTGCTTGCTTGGTTGTAGATCGATCTTCTTCTCTAAAATGTCAAGGTGACTCTGGTGCTCATTGATCTATATACATCACGCAATAGGTTCCTTACCTTACCGTGACAACCCACTCCACCTTACAGCCAAGAACCGTGCTTCGTCGTGCTTGTCAGCCATAGCAATTGTTGTCACCAGCGTAAAGCCGGATCGTTTTTGCGGTTATTGTAGGCTTTGTAGTCAAGCCTTTGAACCGTTCTAATACAATGAGTGAAGTAAGACCGAGATGCAGGCTTGATACAAGCCGTAGTGTGTACATCCTCCACGGCGCGAAAGATGTAAACTCAACCTACCGTGAATTTCTCAACGTCTATGAAGAGAGCAAACGGTCAAGGACTATGCCTCTTTGTGTGGTGTACACAGTCTGTGTAGCGATGTCTTGCCTCCTTCATCTCATTGTTCTTCCAATTGTCAGGTCGAAGTGAGTGCATGAAATATGCGGCTGGGTAAGGTCGGCATAGCATCAGGACGGCAGTTCAATACTTGCTCTCACCGCACAATAGCCAAGCTATTTTCAAATCAAAGGCAACCTGAGACAGCGATTAGAACAGACGAAAGACGGTTTGAGACTGTTTAGCTCTACATGCTGTCGCGGATGGTAGCAGCGAATAATGATATTTGGACAACGATGGAATGAGACATGATGCATGTCACGGTCCGGTAACTCAAAAGTATTGTTGTGAGGTGAAACTTTGTACAGGTACGGGACTATTCTGAGAACACAATCCATTGTTGTAAAGGAATGCTCTGTATTTTCTGAATCATTCGTCGTCTCCCAGCGGAGATCGGGAATCTGGGGGCAAGAGAAAAGATGTGGAAGCTGGAAAACTCGGAGGATTCTATGACCCCTCATCGCGAGCTCTCTCGTGAGAGCAGCCGGCTCCTTCCTATTTCTGGTCTAGATGCCTTAGGTTCACACACGGCTGCAGCAAAGATAAAAGGCGAATAAATTCGTAGGTTGAATGTACCGGATATCAATTTGTTCTCGAACTAACAAAGATACCTGCCAAATGTCCTGATAAACTCTGATCAGAAGACAACTCGCATCGTCTCAGGACCACGAGCTGCATCCCTCTCCCCAGTCGGATACATAGCTGCGATTAATTATCAGAAAATCTTTGCGTGTAATCTACGGACGATGATGCTGAGATAGCCTCCTGCCTCAACTCCAAATCATGCATCAAAATCTGTGGTCGTTAAAAGAGAGTAATGCAGACTTGATGCTGACCAAGACTGCTGAAGCCAGCGATAAGGCGGTGTGACTACCGCTTCTTAATCTCAGTAGCCCAGCCTTCTATACCTTCACCTTTTGAACCGACAGGTATGTCAAGATGTATACTGTCCATGCCTTTTGTGCCCTTCAAGAAATCATGGTTGCTCATGCCTCCAGCATTTGCTCTACCTTCTGGCAACAGGTCTAGCATAGGAGTGAGAAAATCGCTGATTTGGGCGGCTTCTTCCGGTGAGAAATGATACTTCTCTTTCAACACATCTGGAAGAGCCCAATGACGTAGGCGATGTATATTCCGAAGCTCTCCTTTTCGATTGAAGATTTCTTGCGACCACTTTCCTTGTAAACAAAGCTGTTTCGGAAAAGGACCAAGAAGTTCAATAATCTGTGCAATATGATCGTCGTCTTTGCCATATTTAGTGCCTGATTGAGGATCGAACAGGTAATCGCCTGTGATCAACTCGAAGGTCTAAATATGTTAGTGACTGTAAATTCGAAAATCCGATCAGACTTACCATAGCTGCCATCGACCAAACGTCTGTACTAGCACCCCACTTCGAGCCTAGTATGACCTCGGGTGATCTATATTGCCGTGTCTGGATGTCGTTTGTGAAATGATGGCCGACCCAACAAGCATTCCCGAGATCTGCAATTTTGACCGAAATCAGATCTCCTATCGCGTTGTCTTCCAATGCAGCCTTGGCCACTTTTTCTGTTTCGTTGTGCGTGTTCGACGAGGTGTCGAGTTTCACACCAGCAAGATCTTGTTCGATGGGTTCTGTAGTCTTTTCTCGCTGTTTTTGCACTTCGTCGTCTTGCATTTCTTTCGACTTCTTTGACTTGAGCTGTAATTGTTCAATCATGGACAAAGCTGGTCCGGGTGGACGTTGAGTTGGAGTCGAGGCACCACTTTCATTCATGACCTGATTCAGGCTACTAGGTACATGCGGCATCTTATCGATATTGGTAAAGCTTGCATTCAAAGGACTGGGTAGAGGTTGGCTGCCTGTGATCAGCGTCCTACGCCGTCTTCGGCCGTTTCTGTTATCCTCCTTTGGCTTATCTCCCTCGTCCTTGACGAAAGCTTTGACGATTTGTTCGACATCACCAATTTCGATAAGCACATTTTCAGGCTTGAGATCTGTGTGTATTATACCACACTCTCTATGCAGGTAGTCAAGACCCAGCAAGACCTGTTTTATTATTTGTTTGACCAGAGGCATGGGGATGCCCCTGTGGTTCCATTTTTTGATTAGGCCTAGCAAGTTCTCCCCGAGGACTTCGAAGACCATACAAACGTGCAAGCCGTTGGGACCTTTGTGTTCGAAAGAGTCGAGCAAACTTACAACATATCTCCGACCGGGATGGTTTGGATTTGCTTGCACAACCTTGTTTAATAACTTGATTTCGTCGATAGCAGTCTCTGTATAATGGGCGGCAGATCTGACGACCTTGAGAGCGACATGTTTGCCTGTTGTGGTATCTTTTGAAAGCCAGACGGTGGAAAAGTGACCCCATCCTAGCTTGCGTACGACGATATATTTACCGTTGTTATATGTCTCTCCTACGAAGACGGGATGGTAGCCTCCTTTGCAATAATCTTCGGAATCTTCTTCATCAGCAGTAGCCTCGGCAGGATCTTCTTCGGAGGAGGTAGAGATAGGAGATCTGTCAACTTGTGAGCTTTGTGGCCATAACTTCTTACGCGGTAATGGTGAATAGGAGCTGCACAGTCAGATCTTGGGCTGAAGTGGGTGCGCATGAAGAGGGGAGAGGAAGAGACTTACTCTACTTGTGCTGGTGAACCTTGACCACTGTGAGTGATGTGACCGTCGGTTGTGATGATGGGTTTGAGGTTGTCCCCCTTCCTACGCTTCTTCTGGCCATTGCCATTGTTTGCGGCCATGGCAGCGGTTGTGGCTACTTTTTGTGCTTGGTTCTTTACGGCCTTTTTGATTTCGGAGCCATTCATCATAGCAAGAGTTGCTGCGGATGTCGCGAAAGTTCGTTGAGTGGTTAGGAAGGGGGATCTCTGAGTGGTTTGAGTGGATGAAATGGTGATTAGCACGTGTGGACTGGCGCCGAAGTTGTGGTGTTGCTGGGTTGAGCGATTGGCTGAATATTGGTGACGATGGGCGGATCAGGTGGGACGAGTCGACGATTCTGATTGTAGTCGAGGCGCAACCACCAGTCGTGGTAGCTATGACTTCACAAGGGTTCAGCGAACGGTTTGTGCGAAAGTACAGAGATATTGTTTGCTGGATTGTATACAAGATAAGCTCCGAGAAAGTGTCGTTGATCAGTTACAGTTGGAGGGACCAAAAGTGGTTGCTGCAGTGCAAGCGCAGTCCGAGTTCAAGCCTGAGGCAGTCTCTTCAGTCGCGGTGTGAGAAGACAGCGTCGTATGATTCGTCAAAGACTGTCCCTCAATAAACGAGAACGTGGGCTCGTCTGTATATTCCCTCGAGGACTACTAGAATCTGTAAATACTGCTCGGTCAACGACCAGAGGTAGTAGGTCCCGGACACCCGAAAACTCTGGCAAATTTCTTCGTGCAATGTAATATGCACGATTAGTTGTGTTGGTGATATGAGGCGCTTGGGTTGGCAGAGATGACGGCACAGATGACAGCGGGAGGAGGAGCAGCAGCTCGTAACAAGTCCTCAGGTGCAGGTGCGCTTTGGGATGCCACGATTGGAGCCTCCAGAAAGTGGGATGTTTTGTTGTGATGCCCACCGGCGGCTCTGGGATTGAATGCTCCTTCCTTGTGAGCAACTGCCGCTGGCAACGTAGTATGCTCTGCCCGTAGGCAGTTGCGCGGCTTCTCTCAGGCAGGAGCGACTGACCTGAGATTGTAGAGGTGACGCGCCTCGAGTTGATAGCTGTAATCAGGAAACGCAAGCTATCATTTCGACTGCAATCTCGATAGCAAGGAAGCTATCGATTACAAGCGGCCTATGAAACCATGTTCACGCTGGGGAAGAGAACAGAAGAAGATCAACAACTGACAAGACACGACCTGTATCATGAAAGATCCATTGCCGTATCTATATTCTTGAAAGCCTATACCGTTGGTGCCGTTCCCTGATTTCCGACTGGTCGAAGTCTCCTGTCGTACCATTGTCACTGTGAAGGGGAGAAATGAAGTGATGACGATAGACGCCAAAGCAGTACCTGGTCATGGAGTAACCATCCCAATTTTAGCTTGTCCTCGCTTGTGCCTGCAGTGCTCCGCTATACTAACCCATGTATCAGGCTTGTGCACTTTCTACAAAGAAGATGTTTTGAATCTTTGCTACAGATCCTCTATCGTAGCAACGATGAGCAGGATAGCCCCAGCATGGCCTTGTGGCCGCGCTAGCAAGCCACGGAAGTTTTCATGCTGATCGAGACATTTACAATATCTTCAAAATAAATTGAAATCCTCTGCAATTTAGAGCTGACCTTCACAGCAACTTGAAGCAAGCAGTCACTTCTTCACGAACTTACAATCGCGATGTCTTTCTTGAGTCGTTCAGCTTCACCTTTTGCACCACCCTCAACCATCTACCTCCTGCTCTTTCACCCCGTCTCTACCATCCTAATATTCCTGCACAACCTTCTGCTCACATTGCGAGGCGCTCCTTACCGCCCACCACCAGCTCAGCTACCCATTCCCATAACCTGTATATCAGACACTCACTCGAAGTTTCCTAAAGTCCCTCCTTCCGGCGAGCTTCTCATCCACGCTGGCGACCTCACCAATTCTGGCACTCTAAACAGCATCCAGCAGACTGTGGACTGGCTCAGGAGCTTACAGAAGCCCTGGCCAGGCAGTCGAGATGGCTACCGCTACATCGTCATCATAGCTGGCAATCATGATAGCTACATGGACGAACGTAGCCGCAACGCACACGATGCGCGTACCTCCAAAGGCTCATATGGCCGCAAGCTAGACTGGGGCAAGATCATATACCTTCAGCATGGCGAGGTTACTCTGACCTTTCCTGGAGATCGCAAGCTCAAGATCTATGGCGCTCCGCAGATTCCTAAATGTGGAGGGAAGGATTTCGCGTTCCAGTACGAGCGCGGTCGAGATGCTTGGAGTGATACAATTCCGGATGATGTGGACATCTTAGTCACACACAATCCTCCGAAATGGCATTTGGACATCGCTCAGAATGGAGGGTTGGGCTGCGAGCATGAGCTGAAGGAGGTGTGGAGGGTCAAGCCGACGTTACACGTGATGGGACACATTCACAGCGGTTATGGTAAGGAGTATGTCTGGTGGGACAAAGGCACGAAATTGATTGAAGAAGTGAAGAAAACGGCTTTTGCACCCTATCCGCAGCCACAGAAAGCGCAGATTGCTGCTCTGCTGAGTGAAACGTTCAACTTCAAGCTGTACATCCTTGGGTTTCGGTTACTGCTAGAGGATGTGAAAGGTGTGCTATGGACGAGATTCTGGAAAGGGACTAGGAATGGAAGTATCATGATCAATGCAGCGTTGACGTATCAGATCTCAGAATACCTGGGCAATAAAGCGCAGACAGTGGTTCTGTAACCAAATCTACTGGAATGTAGTTCAAAAAGTTCATATACAAGAATCGTTGTGTACAAACCCTGTACCCTGTCAATTGCGCCTTGTCTCCTGGAATCCAAATCTGCGCATTTCCAACAGCCAAGACAAGTCATTGAGCCCGTTATTAGCCTATCACGTTCTCATAGTTGTTGGTCCATTAGGTCGAACACTCGATTCGTCACGTCGGTGCCAACAATCTGCTGTGGGTGGTTCGTACTGTATACACATATCGTTGCCCAACCACTCAGCTCGATGATAGTCCTTTTTCGAACAGATCCAGTTCGAACCAGCTCCTAGCTCATATCCTCTCTGAACGCGCTCTTTCTCGTACTGATCGGACTCGTCGAGATCTCCTCGCTATCCATCTTCCTGTGTCCAGCTGTATTCACTCCCAATTCGGGTCTGGGACTCACACTTCTCAAGCTCGGCGCCCGATTCGAGTCGGCAAATGGATCAAGGTGACTTCCAGCATCTCTGCCTCTACCACCACCATAACCCGTATCCTGGCGCATATAGTCCCCACCACTATATACATTACTCGGGCCCGGTGTCGGCGCAAGACCCAACTCAGCTTCCTCATTGTACCCTCCAATCCCCGGACCATACGGATCATCATCCCGTCCTCCAACACGACTATCCCACGGATCATCCTCTAATCCTCCTCTTCCTCTTGCTCGTCCACCACCACTGCTACTCAATCCCTGATACGCGCCCTCATTCGGCCTGGTATCTTCATACCCACCCGTTTGCGAGCGCTTGTTCCGTAAACTGTCGAATTTGTCCTTGACCCATTCGAGCGGGTTGGCGGAACGAGGTGTTGGGTGGTTTGTGCCGCTGCCAGTGGAGGCTGAGGACATGAATGGGACGTATGCCTTCCAGCCTTGGAGACGTTCGCCGCGTTTACGGGCTTGCCAGATGCGCCAGCCGATCCAGCCGCCGTAGACTAAGAGGAGGATGAAGAGGAGTAGGAAGAACCATCCTGAGAACGAGAAAATGTGTTAGTTGTGCTTGCGCTTGAGAGTATAAAGTCGTGATGTTGCATGGGATACTGCTGTGCTTGAATTGTGCCGCATGAGCGTTGCAACTTACCTGCGCCAGTCATGTTTGCGGTCGCACACTGCTCTCAGTCAACGAGCAGCGAATACGTAGAAATATCTCTCAAAGCAGCACGAGCCAAAGCCGCAGCTGAGAGCCGTCAAACCTGCCGATCACGGGTGTGTTGTCGTCGACACTGTACGTAATATAGCAGTCGCTCGACGTGTTTCGTAAGGAGGGAGATTCGATTTGGAGGTAAAGAGTAGCGCGACTCAAGACCATGAACCCTGAATCATAACGTCTAACAACTTCAGCGCACAGCCCATCTATCCAAGCTGAGCGCAAGACGTACTTAGCGCAAACGACATCAGTAGAGGCGAGACAGGCTCCATTTTCAAGCCGGTTGTTCCATTTCTATTTCCGTGGCTTAAATGACGCTAAGTTTCAGCTCGAGCTCAAACATAAGTAAATGCTGTAGTAATAGGGCATCATGTATTACAAGGCGGCCAGTCTCGGAGGAGTTCTGTGACTACGAGGTCTTCCACTTCACGACTCTACATTTGAGCTTTGAAGGATCATATCTACACTCGTTCGGACATGACTCGGTCTGACAGAGAATCTCTTGCAGATCTCTTCCTGGATGTATGGAGATGTCGCGTGTAGGCAACATCAAGTAGGGATATTTTCCAGCCAATAAGCCATCAAAATGAGCTACCCGAGTTATATTGCCATGGCTTCAACACGTCTTCGAGAGCCTCGCATCGACCATGTCTCTGTAGATCCGAAAGCCCAACTAGCTGTCTTCCACTTGATGCTTTCACGATCACACAGATATCGGGAATGTGTTCATCATGGTGATATTAAAGACAGCTGGAGAAGCGTATGTCAGGCCGAACCGCACCTTCCAAATACTGGAGGTGGCCTCAGGTTAGCAAGACGTTGCGATTGCGCTCATGATAGGAAGGTTCATCCAGACAGGTCAGTAGGAGTATGCTACACAACAATGGCATCCCGGCTGAGAAGATCGACAACTTTGAATATGAGGTCGTTCGAGTCATAGGTATAGCTTCTATGTCTCAGTCTTCATGCTAACCTTCTGAATGCCTCGTATAAGTTTCAGCATGCAAAAATCATCGTGTTCAAAGCACATCGCAAACGTTCGTTGACTTTCTTGAACCAGATTGCGTTCTGCCTTTGTTTTCCATGAATCGAGAACTCCTCTCGCACTCAGACACCGGTCTTCCACCTCAATCACGTCTCACACTTGTCATTCATATCGCAGGCCATTCTGCGCGCTTGCCAAGGCAAGCTATGGCTTAGTCTCGGCCTTGACCTCGAGCATTTCCACGAGCGCCTCCTTGTCCACCAGGGATACCTCTGCCATTTCCTCGAAAGCCTCCACGAGCCTGAACAGGGGCTTGACCACCACTAGGACCACCCCGGCCTCGCCTACGACCGCCGCCTCTACCCATGCCGCCCCGATTCATGCCGTCTCTACCAACCGCATTCGCGCCGGTCGTACCCGAGGTAGTGCCTGCTCCCCGTCGAGCTCGGTTTGCAACACTCTGCTTTTGGCGGTTGGCCTGGTCAATGAGCTTTTCGACGTTCACCGGACCATCGTTGAGCCAACCCCGCTCCTGGAAGAGCTCGAATGGTTGGTAGCCGCGTTGGTCTAGTCGCAAGAAGTACTCATCATCCTCGTTACCAACTTCTGAGGTGATGATGCTGCTTCTTGTCTGACCTGCAGCAGGAACAATGATGAAGTCTTCGAGCTTCAGACCATTGTTGTGCCACTGAGTCCATTTAGCTCGGCGACCAAGCTTCGTATTCAACACTTCATCATACACGGTCTGAAGTGCTCGAGCATCTTCCTCGTAGTCAGCCGGTTCGGCTCCTACTAGCTCCGTCCTCGACTCCCATCGACGTCGTTCTTTGGACACTTCAAGGATTAGGTGGTGCGAGTACACTTCGTGCTGTCCGAAGCGTCCACCAGTTTGCGCAGGAAGTATCAAGCGACCGCTAGTTTGAAAATTGGGATGACGCTTGTTAAGCCAGCAGAGGAACCGAAAGCTCGATCGAGTGTTCTGGTCGTATCGAGTCATCAAACCCGCTGGGTCTTGGCTCTCGTTCTCCGGGTGTGGCTGGCTTCGATCGCTCCACTTTGAGTACAACTTGACCCATTCGAGGTTGGGCAAGTCTTCGACAAAGCACTTCAGGAACTCTGGCCATTGTCCCTGGTGCTTTAGCTTGAACTGAAATTCGACACGCATCTCAAAGCGATGGATGAGCATGCAGCTCTCTGCTCCGAAAACCGCTGGCATGTCTATGAAACTTGAAGAGTGCTGTCCTTGAAACACGACATTCTTGGCGATGTACTCGTGGACCTCCTCTTCTAGTTCAGGCATGCTTAGCAATGACTCGAAGGATCGGATCAGTCGAGGGTAGAGGTGCTGAAATCGCATCGTTCGTCCGCGTCGGCTGCGTGGTGGAGTCATCGTGACATCTGCCACAAGGTCATCGTCATGCATGTGGGAATAGATTACGTTGCGTATCTCATGTGGTATAACCAAGAGCATCGAGGTTGGCTTGGGTGAGTCGTCGTCGATAGTCAAGTCCTGCATCAGACTTCGAATGACGAACGTCTCACGGTTTTCTGTGTCTATGGACATTTTGCAGATGGTTCGTTGTTCAACTTCTGCCAATGTGTTGTGAATTTCATGTACCGAGAAAATGACTTTGACTTACTCGAGTTTTGTGAAGAGGATTGTATTATGGTAGACGATTCAAAGAGGTGTGTTAAGGCTTTGGCAAAACAACTCCTTCGATAACGTCTGTTGTGGAAAGAAAAGAAACTCAGAAAGCAAAAGATGCTGTGGGCTTTTTATGCTCACCCAAATGTGTTCGTTCGTCACTGGTAAGTGACATGTCTCAAGGCAACACACACCGCTGAATGCGCGAGCCCAGTGTCACCTTGCATGACTACACTTTCCGTTGTTGTTGATGAAACACGACCTGTTTTCAAGAAAGTGCTCCTCAACCTAGCCAGATCTGGAACAGATTCCTCCTTCTCAAGGACGAAAGTGACGGCGAAGGAGTGTTGGTGCGAGGAGAGACGCCTGATCACGACTGTTTTTGGGAAGATTGCCTGTTTTCGTCACTTAGCTGCCGACACTCAACACTGCACTTCGGCGAGGGGTCCACTCATCACTGAGGCTATCAGGTCAGTAAGTCGAAAGGCCTCCAGACTCACCGGGTGGAGCACTGGTTGCCTTATCTCGAAGGCCTTCTCCGTTGTCTCTTCAGAAAAAGAAGCCATGGTTTCAGTCTGTATGTGTCTGCGCAGCTTATGCATATATAAGATCTTTACACAATTTCTGTGGCAAGGTCCAGAGTGGAAAAGGTCCCAAGTCAGAAGTCAGAAGAATATGTGGTGCTTATTAGCTTGCTCTCTGTTCACCGCGGACAAATTACAAAGCTTGCCACCGATTTGAGCTTGTTGAGCACATTCTTGCTCAGTGGTGCAGACACCAGGACTCCATACCACTGCCAGAGATTCCGGTAAGATATCTTTGCCTGCAATTCCGTGGCCCAATGAATCGTCGTGCTTAGTGCATAAACCTTCACTAATTGCCTGCCCTCATATGCGCGGCTTCTGACAACTTGGCAATCAGCACGAGCCCGGTGACCACCAAACTTTCCTTGTCTCAGCCCCAATCCATGAGTTCGAGCCTTTCAGTGTGGGTTAGCGAGCAGGTTACCACCATCAGATACAAGATCGACCTTACGTGCTACGGCAAATCGATGCAATCGATCGACAGTAGAGGTTCGGAAAATAGCAAAAATTGCAATTGTTGTAGTGGTGCTTCGGGACATCGTTCACGGTATCGAGATCTTGCAACACAGCTATTTCCAAGTACTTAGTAGGTCATATAGTCCGGCCCATCCTATACAAAACGCAGCACGCGTACACGGAGGAGAGGAGAAGATGATGAAGTCCAGCTTAGCTAGTGCATCGATTTGTACAGGGACTACGCTTTGTCTCCTGTATTCGAGCGCCTATCACCACATCATTCTCGCGCAACGCTTGCAGAAAGCCTCAGCATTCAAGCATAATGAGAATCAATCTCGATGGCTGTACAGGAACTCCTCTCACATGTACATTAACCAAGCTCATATTATTCGCAATTCATACTCCGGTTCCAACGTCTTTCTCTAACTACTCATGGCTCCATACCTCTCATCCCTTTCTTCGTGAAAACCCTTTCCAGTAAGAGACCCAAGTACATTCTCGTTCGGTTCTTAGACATATTATGCGGCCGTCAGCAAATCAAAGCAAACTGAGATACTCTCAGAGAAGGCGACGAGCTTTCTTTTGCTTGTTTTGTGCTGAGGTTGTGGCACATATTGTAAGAACATGTCTTAATAAACACAGGTCGTGTTCTGTAACTCATATCCTGAGCCAATCCTAAAATTCACCATCTGTGGCGGTCAGAAGTGAGGGATCTGACACACTTCTCTCAGACAATCCTCACAACATGAACAGGTTTTGAACGCATGCTGATATGGACTTCGACAGGCACACCGTCCTCGACTCGGCACGGGAAGATGGCGATGATCTCCAGCTGCTCTGGAACGAGGTTGAGGTTAATGGGTGATCTTGCCTTGAGGAAACGATCTGGGTAGATTTCGGCCAATGAGATTAGTGCGTCGTTGATATCGCCATCCTTTACCTGTTTTGTCGTGATTCTAACACCGACGTAACAGCTGGTTGGGAACGTGAACTCAATTTTCTTGATGTTGGAGAATTTCTCATAGCATATCATAGGGATGCTACCTGCTTGAACTGTAAGACTGAGGTAGTGTACTTGGTCCAGAAACCATTGCATGCTGTAAGTCTCGGTCATTCGCGTGAATTGAATTTGCGCTCGGCCGCTGATCGTGAGTGTCTTAGCATAGGTTCTTTGCAGCTTCAAATTGGCTTCGGCGTAGAAGTACTTCGAGACGCAGAGGAGGCTAAGGCTTGATGTGAGGCCAATGGATTTGTATTCTTGGACGCCGCCCGAGGTGTACTTCTTGTAGGTCACGGACCATCGAGCAGGAAACCAAATGTCGAATATCATCTTGTGTAATTCTGGAGGTAGATCGAGAAAGCCAGGTTTAGGTATTGGAGGTCGCAGGATCAAGAGAGGGTTTGGTTTTGGGGATCGCAATATCAAGGGAGCTTTTGGTGCTCTGAGGATTAGGGGAATGCTTTTTGGTTGATTTGCCAGCTCGGTTCTTCAAACCACTAGTGGAAGCTTTCGCTGATGCGCCGCGAGGTCCCTTCTCGACCTTGTTGTCCTTCCCTTTCTTCGAGATTTTGTAAGCGTGGCCCAACATCACGAGACTCGAGGTTGGGAAATGACTCTGTACTTCTTTCGTTGGATAATTCTGATATCGAACAACAGGAATGAACAGATACTCACGCAAGTCTCTTGTAGACGGGCAATTACGAACGATGGTCTATAAGCCTGCAGGAGTTGATACTGAACCTGCCGGTAAAGTGGGAAGAGAACTGACGCACTTCTTCAGAAATTGAGTGAAGTAGTCCAACCACCACCTTGAGTCGATGCCAAGACTCTAGATCAGGCTGAACCGCCAATCAAGCACTTTTCAGGCGTCGGCGGAACTCTTTTGGCACGTGGACTCAGTTCCGCATCAACAATGTCGTGCACATGCTCTTGTCTCTCAGCTCCGTGGCTCGTCATAATCCATCGTCCTGTCGAGTTCGTGACTGAGCAACATGGTTCCTGCCGCGCTAACTCGACGACGGCGATGTCGAGCAACTCCTTCTGCCGGGACCTCCACAGGCATGTTGTGTTATACCCATATATTCTCCGCGTTGAGTGTCATGCTGATCACCAATATCATCAGCGTGTGCATGCTCCCACGCCGCATCACATAGGAAGTAATCGAAACGGACCTCACAGAAACTGGCTTAATATCTCAATACGAGGATCTTCAAATTTTTTTCATGACTAACAACGGATTGGCAACCATGTACATTACATATTGCCCTATTATCATCTATACAACAATCAGTTTGACAAGCTTTCTTTGAGGCTCTAGCGGTTCTTTGTCTCCTTCGACTCCGAGCTGCCATTGTCCGTTCGACCAGCAGCGAGTGAGATATGTGACTTGATGTGATACTGTGTTATCTCAAGGAGTTTTGCGCAACACATGGCAGTATAGAAGTAAGCTGGAAGGCTGTGTTTCCCCTTGTCCTATATGAGCGAAGACTCATTAGCACTGCCGAGGATTTGGGTCGGTCGTCACGTATTCGATGTTCTCCTGGATCCTCCGTATCCTGACAATCTGATCAGGGCACAAACTTGATCTTATGATGGTATATCTGCCATCTGCGTATTGAAGAACGAAGCACGTCGCGCGAGATATGTAGTGACAATGCCGATCGATCTGATCGGTAAAAAAAGACAAACGTTGCTCACCACCAAACTCTATTAGCATGGCGATCGAATATCTACTTTCGATGGCCAGAAAGACAAATTGGAGTGTCAAAGATACTATCGTTGTTTGGTTGACTGTCCGACTCTACGAGTAAGAACCACAAGGTGGGAAGGGTGAATTCGATTTTCTGGAGATTTCTGAACGCACGATATGGTGCTCGGGGATCGCTCTCTTTGTCCGGTCGGAATATTGGGATCTGTACTGCTGTCAGAAACCAGTCCATATTGTTGTTGTGAACGAGCGAAGGCAAGTTCGTCTGAGCTCCATTATTGAAGACAGATTCGTTGTTGAAAGTTTTGTGATTAATTAACCTTTTGAATTCAGACGACAATGTTTTGGTTCAAGAGTTTTGGCGTGGACCGTCGGCGGGCGCTCTCCAGGCGCCGGAGGGCGTCTCTGGCTCGGAGCCGTATAAATTGTCTCGGAGCCCTTTGGCAAAGAACGATCGAAATAACGGGAAAACCTTACTCATTATTTCTCGAATGACTCCAGCTTCGAACTCCGCTTAGAGATTGTAGACGAGAAAGGATCGACTCCAAGTCAGCCGCACGTGACAAGTCAGCTAACACAGTCTTCAGCCTGTGCCTCACGTGTTGAACGATGTGTCTCCATCGAATCGCTTGCTGGAGGTCATCAGTGGCAGCTCGAGACTTTCGCAAAGCATGAGATGCTGGCTCATCAAGGAGGGTTGAAGATTAATAGCGAGGGATTGTGATACGCACTCAAAACATATCGCTATCCTTGAACGTCCTGCTTCATAAGAGGAACGCATTGGTATTGGAAGGCACTCTGTGCTCTGCACTGTCAGATTGTGGCCACATGGAGCTAGAAATAGGTTGCGAGCTGGCTATCGCATGCTGCGGCTCAGCACAAACTGCGACAGTCTTGGTAAAAAGAGTGTCGTCTTGTTACGACACATAGTCGGTCATCGATCCAGGACAGTCATGGTCGAGGCTTCTTGCGTGTTACAAAGTAATCGCAACGCGTTTAGACATGACAAAATTCAAGCAGGCGAGAGATTCAGCGTATATCATTTCATCTTGGCAGTGTAAGACAAGTAAAATCACCTGCTTTAAAACCCGCCCCTATAACCCGGGCCTAAAACTTAATTCGGTAGGGCTATCCTACCGCGGAAACCTATCCGGCCTTGATCCAGGGGAAGCCTATAGCTACGTGATTACACCTAATGTTTAAGGTAAACGAACGTCCTGTATTGCATTACAGCAATTATCTCGGTGGTCGACATACATGTCCCCATGATTTAGTAGCGAAAAGTCTATCAGATGGTGTAAGGTCGTCTCATAAGGTGTGTATGACGTTAACATTTGTATCCGAGAACACTTCCGCGATCCTGCACCTCGGCACGGTATCGTGAGTTCGAACTTGCTGTGTACCCCCTCACATTTACCATGTTGCCAATTCCCACATTCTCTTTTCCACCGTCGGAACTGGCTTATGGATCACCCAGCCATGACTGAAGTCGCTATGCAACCAAGCACACTTCAAATCTCCACACGAATCATTTATCATGGAAGCTCGGAAGCCGAAGAGGTCTAAAGTTCTCTTGGCTTGTGACGCGTGCAGAACGAGGAAGGTACGTACCACTGCAGGCTGCATGCGAGAGCGCGTTAGACAAAGCTGTTACTTTCCAAGTGCCCAAATGGCATGCAGAAATCATACAAGCCATACCCTAAAGAGCTTTATCAGTATCTTTCTTGATTGTACTGCACATCGTTGAGCACAGACGCTCCTGACTAGCACGCGCTCTTCTTGCAAGACATACCTTCGACACGTCACGAAATCTCACTAAACGTGAATATAGGTCAAATGTGATGGTAGACAACCAGGTAAGACTATTGTTAACACAGCAAGAGACTGCCCAACGTTGAAAGAAAAGAGTTTGAGGATGGCAATGCTCTAATATCGCGGAACTATGGCTACGGACCTCTCCAGGAGCCTTCACTCGCAACATCGCAGTCTTTACCTCAAACTTGCATCTACAAAAGCTTTTGCACTGCTCTCCCTTCAGGCAGTGAATCGATTGAGATAAACTGACTTTTACGCAGTGTGTGCCTCATGCCAAAAAACAGCTGGCCGTCATGGTCTTTGCACATGGAGTCCAGGTCCTTGGAGTACTACAAATACCGTTGCACCTACGAATGCGGATGCTACCACCATCGGAGTTTCGCTACCAAGTACTGCGACATTGCGTGCAAGATCGACCAGTCCAGATACTTATGCAGCACACGCACAGGGGGTACCGGCAACCTCCCAACGATTGGAAGCCGATAGAGCCGTTGGATCGATGGCTACCATAGACGACAGCTCCGTCCACACCATCATAGGCGCCACGCCGGAAGAATATCACAGGGCAGGGTTTTTTGGTAGTTCCAGTGCAGGAACATTCATGCAAAACGTGAAGCAGCTGGTGGAGCAAAAGATAGGGCGAGCACAACAACAAAACAGCACCCGAGTTCTTCAAAGTGCTGCTAGCGCGCCTCTTATGATTTCCACTGGTGACGCTAGACAAAAACATATCGACTACGTCTTGCCATCAAGACGGAAGGCAGATAGTCTGCTGGCTGTTTATTGGAATTCTATCCACGTGCTTTACCCCTACTTGGACAAAGTCAAAACAAACCAAGAGTATATTGATATCTGGAGAGGTGAAGGTTCTGCAGCAGATGAACAATCCTTTCTGTGTTTGCTCAACATCATGCTCGCGTTGTCATCTCAGGTTGCCGGACCACCAACGGACAGCGAGCAAGAAGACCCAGGCCACACGTTCTACCTGAGAGCCAAGGACTTATTGAACCTCATGGGAACGGGATCAGTCCGTTCAGTACAAACGTTCTTATTGTTTGGAGAGTACTGCCAGAGCACGAACGAACCTCAACAGAGCTGGGTATATGCTGGCCTTGCGATCCGCGCCGCGCAAAGCCTTGGTCTTCATCTGCCTCAAACGAGTGAACGGGTAGCGGACCTGGAAACAAGGCAACTACTCAGAATCGTCTGGTATGGCTGTGTGCTTATGGACAGGATGCTTGCTATGACTTATGGTCGACCGTGTATGATCGGTCCAAGGACCGGCACCTTAGTGCCGCTTCCGGCCATTCCACCTGAGGGCATGCATCGACAGTCAGACCCCGGGGTCTCGGGTCGGAGGACAGATGATGGTCTCACCATGAGTTTCTATGTCAACCACCTCAAGCTTTTTGAAATCCTTCATGACGTCCTCTTTCAGTTTTACAGTTCAAGTGCAGGTCGTAGTCAGCCAGCTGGCGAAGCTTACGAAAAGTATTTTGGCCAGTCTCAGGGACAGTTGTCAGTTCTGGGACTCGATCAGCGTATATTGGACTGGGAGAGAAACCTCCCTGAGCATTTCAGAGTAGAGACTTACTCGCTAATCGATACGTCAGGCAGTATACCTTACCGGCAGGCCGTCGTCTTGCATCAGATGTAAGTCCCACGTAACGCCTTCCAAATTGCGGTCTTTCTAACACGTTCTAAAGCCATCTCCACGTTCGACTTATGCTTCTGCGACCAGTACTCTCCTCCTTCGTCACGTCTGACTTTCACAAACAGGACTCCGATGCCACTTTCTGGAACCAGCTGGGTGAGCGGATTTTCCTACAATGTTCCGTTGTATGCGTTCAAGTAGCCAAAGAAGCTATAGAGACTATCCATAAGAGAGGCAATGATCCGGGAAGCCTAGCGCCCTGGTGGTTCAATGTACTCTTTCTGTACACTGCTGCCACTGTTCTGGTAGCTGCTCGGCTCAGCTCTTCTATATTGACCGAGTTGTACGAGAATTCCATCGTGGAAGGATGCCGCAAAGCTATTTCGGCATTAGAAGAATACAGCAATTACAACAGCGCCATCAAACGGCTGGTTACCACTTTACGTCTTCTTTACGATGCTGTACCTCGACAATACTTTCGTCTTAGACAGCATCCAGCTATACTGGATGGTGAAAAGACGTTGGCTGACATTGTAGAGTCTCAACAAGCCGATTGGCAGAACGACATCAGGGTCAACACTATCAGCGACTCTTTCGCTCGTGGACAACAGCATTCATCATTTCAGCCAAGTCATGAGTACGAGCCTGTATCGCCAGCAGGGCTGTCATGGGATCTCGATCACCCGTTTGACCCAACTGATATTACATGGCTCACAACCGTTCCATTCGATGCCTAACAAGATGCCCAGAGCGTCATCGAATTGTTATGTAAAGAATAGCATCGTGGAATATCTGACGCTTTTGGACAGAGTGTCAACACATTGACATGGTTGACATTCAAAGGCTTCTCTTTGTCTCGGAAGCTATGATTCCGGACTTTCAACGGTCCTCTACGCAAAAGAGTGCAAATACAATGAAACATAGCAACGTGGAAGACACCAGGTTCATTCGTGGCTAGATATCTGATCAACCGAGCTGTGCACTCTACTCTACATTTTCCCAAATTCTGTTACTTTGCGTGCATACATTCACTGGAGTCGCCCAAGTGGAAGCCGGGGAGATCCGCGAACAAATACAGCCCGCTACATCACTGACTCAAAACTATCAAGTCCGAAGCTCCTTGATTCGACTCAGCAGAGCTAGTATCCCTGCAGTGCTACCCATGAGAGGGAAGAGGCTTCGAATGAGGTTGCGCTGTCGCCAAACTTCCAGCAGTCGATCAATTTCATCATCACTCGATGACGCGGAGAACGAATCCTTTTCTTGACTCTGGGCTTGCTCCTCTGCAATATCCAACAACCTGTCATTGGCAAGCCTGATCGTGAGTATTGTGTAGGGTACCATAGCTGTCGTCAATAGCGCTGCAGCGACATACAGTTGGAAGACTTTGCGCTGTGCTGATTTTCGGTGACACCATGCAAGGTAGATGAATGAGAAAAGGGAACCGAGAGCGACTGGCGGATTTTGGTAATGGCCGGTCCGATCAATGGTTTTCCAAATCTTGGCGGCAATGATTGCAGCCAACTTCTCTTTCTTTCGAGAAGATTGAAGTGCAGGTACCGATTGAAGAGACACCGTGGCCATATTACCTGTAAGCAAGACCGTCAGTGGCATAGTCCGGCCAGCAAATCAAAGACATCAAAACACGGATGGAAAGGAAATCGCAAGTTCATCGGGGTCATTGCACTGACCAGATAGCCATAAGGCCCCGCTTACTCCTATGATTTGAGCAGCTTGACCTAGTGGTACAAATGTTGCCATGCTTTACTGCTGCGTGTTAGGTAGGGACTAATGAGAAACAATGATCGATCAGTCGTAGGAAATCTCGAGCCACTCTACGTGTTGTGACAATTTTCGAATGCTGGTTGCAATGGGCATCGCTTAATTCAAGCAAGCAACGAAGGTGGGTCCTTCGTCTAGCACCCCAGATTCGTGGTCTGCTCCTCGGAACTTCCGAAAGCTCAATTGAACCTGATCCGATTCGCGATCAAGACCGCATGGATGTGTTCTTCGTTCCACGAAGCATGCTTTGCAGTATCGGCACATGACCAACGCTTTAGTTGTTACGAGTGATAGTGCTACTTTATCTGACGATACCGTTAACGTAGTCATCCCGATAGCTAACGGAGCGGATAGACACGAGCATCAAAAGCAGAATGCAGACTAAAGCTTCTTATTGCGGCACGACCGATTCCAGCCCCATTAATCTATCGCCAGCGCTGTCAGACTTAAGGTTATACGCTATTTCCCAGTCAAGGACAACAACATGTGGGTGGCCGTCAAAGCCCTCTGAACACCAATATTGACCATAGCATGTGTGTGCGTCTCCTCCAGCTAACCTAGATGACCAAAGCCAGAGCACCCACTATAGCACTGAGCAGCGGAAGACTGCCTCGAACAGTTCCAAGTTTTGAAACATCTTGCATTAGAGCATACGTGTCGATGTGATTAAGGTTGCGTTTCTTTCCAGTTTGAGATCGTTGCTCCAGCTCGCCATTCTTGCGAAGCATGAACATAAGCGTACACGGAATGGTGAGCAAATTAAAGGCGGCACTCGTGAAAAACAATTTCCGACGTAGAGTCATTGAAGTCGAACTTTTTAGACCAGCATAGATCAGCGATGCCGTGCCAATAACCAGAGCAGACATGCTGACATTGTGAGCAAAAGATTCGAAGACCTTCCACTGACGTGCTAGATGCCGAGACTCCGGTAAAGATTGCCCGTCCTGAGGCCGTAGTAGAAGCGCTGATTCGGTGAGAGAGGATATCGTCAGACTGGTAGAGGCGAACATGGTCGTGGTTACGACGCCCAGAACACCAGCAGCAGTAGTGATCTGGGCTGGAGAGAGAGCCATTTCGTACATGACCTCGGAATTACGGAATGACTAAAAGATGATTCGAGGCTGGTCGTTTGAGAGGGCAAAAGGCTTACCACACAGCACGAAAAGCTGTTCAGAAGCAAGATACTAATATAGCTAGACGTTTATGGGGGGGGGGGGGGGGGGGGGGGGGTAAAAAAAAAGAAAATGGAAAAAATATATAATTGGACCAACGAACAAATCAGCAACCCACAAAAAAATGTTGGGAAAATGTGGCACCGCACACCGATGAAA